TGGCAAATCAACGACGAACCCGTCCGTTGAGGATCGGTAATCGGAAACTGCTGAATATTGTAAAAAATTGGGTTTTATTAAAAAAAAAAGCACTGAATGTTGGAACTGTAAATCATATACCCTTCTTAAACATTCAGTAGTTCCATATACTTTAACATTTACTCAAAAAATCTTAATAACTAGAATTAAGAAAGGTACCTTTATATGTCACGAAACATGTCAACTTTTCAGATATTATAAACATCACTGCTCTGAAGTTTGGTTTATAGAGGAAAAAGATGTGCCAGGTTGACATCTAATAGCATTGATGCTGAATAATCTCAGTGATTAGCTAGTATTACTTCAAGTGTTTTTTCGACTTTATTCAAAAGTAAACATGTTTCTTTATTCATCTGTGTTATTAAATTGCATTTAAAACATTTTGTGTAACTAAAGAGGCTGGACACTTCAGGAGAAAACCGAGCAGTGCAGCTTTTTACCTCTGTTTGATTCTGATACCTTGGTCTAAAGTAACTCAGTACTTTTTTTATATTTACTAAGTGCATTTAAACAGAAATGTGTATATTTTACTTTTTTCTATACATGTTGATCAAAAGATGACTTTGACAACCTTTTTATAAAGCTTTATAACATTTCCATTCATTAATGATGTAACATTTGCAAAATAAAAAAAGTAAAATGCGTGGGGCGCATTGCAACCGATGGAGCCGATTCTGAGATGTTCTAATCCTCCCCCATTGTTAAAGTCGACATTTACATGGAAACCATGATTTATATTCCTTTTATTTTTTGTTAATGTTATTCTAAACCTCAGTTCAGTGTAAAAAATGGAATGGTATATGGTATCATTTTTTTAAAAATGAATAGGTCTTGAGAGCTGTACTGAACAAAAGTTCTTTTTGTGTAAACTCTGTGTACAAACTGACAATAAAGTCTAAGTCTAAGGAAAGGTGAAATAACTCTTTTTTTTTTTTCACTTTTACCCGATGTATTCCAGCATCCAGCTGCCATGCACGTGGGCATTGTCAGTTTCACTATAGCTCTGGTGAATTTCAATGGTGAAGTCCTCTGGAAATCTTCAATAATTGTTTTTTGTTGCAGATGTGTCTAGTAATTCCCATTGGTT